GGGGACAGGGCGTGGGGGAGCCAATCCTGAGGCGGGAAGCGGTGGGCGGGCGAGGGAGCGAGCAAGTTTGCGTGCAGCGTGCGAGGAGGGGAAAGAAGTTGTGAGGAGAGCGGGATCAGCAGGGAGGGAAGGGGGGAAGTTTTGGGAATTGTAGGTGTTTTATGGGAGAAAGAGAGCCGAGATGCAGCTGGAGGTTAGTGCTAGGGAAGCCTAAGAGCTCAGGAGCAGAGAAATGAGTTTAGATGCCAGGCTTTCCTGGCGTGAGTTGTTCTGGACGTGTGGCCTGCTGCATCCCATGGGATTGCGTTGGATTCGCAGGGATGCGGAGGTCACCCTGTAATGAGGGTGCTGCGCTCGGGTGGCCTGATTAGGTGCAGGCAGCTTAATGGAGCAGCATTTGATTAAGTGTCTTTACATCTACTTGTAAAGTGCTGCATTGCATGAGTCATCACAGTAGCAATTATTGGGCTATAAATAGAAAAAAATGTGTTTCTTGTTTCTCTAAGTAGAAAAAAAAAGTGCTATGAGTCCTGCTTATTTTAATTTGGTAGTTTAGTTATATAACTTACGAAGTTATGGGGTGGGTGGGGTGTTTTTTTTTTTTTTCAGATTATGACTTGAGTCTCCCCTGTAGCTCTTTATTTGCACTGATCATTTTGTTCAAATCAATGATGTTTTAAGCATAAGATTTTCATTTGGTACACCTGGATTTTGTAAAGCTGTTGTGAATCACACAGTTTATTACAGATTTCAGCGAACTTTCTGATAGTGAAGGAGAAAAGGAGGCTAAATGTGTGTGTTTTACTACAGCTTCCAACCTGCTGCAGTTCAGGGTGGGCTTCTGACTTAACAGTTTCCATTAAAGCCTCTTAACCAAAATGCAACAGCAAGGGACAACAACATTGAGGTTTTTTTGAATGCAGCTATGAGAAAATCAAGAAATGGTTAAACATAATAGCTCTCAAGGATAATTATGTTAATTTAACACACAGTTTGGTTCTTTGTTTCTTTAGTGAGCAAAATTCATAAGTTTTTTCATGCCATTAAGATATTTTGTAGTTTTGTCATACCTTGCAATTTCCTAGAACTATAAAACATAGATCCTAGAGTTAGGAAGAAAGATATAAATCCTGCTTTTGCCCTAACTGGGCCAGATAAAATCAGTGCACCTCAAACTTGCCTTATAAAATCTTTTAATGCATTATCACGATTTCCAGTGTGTGGCACTAATACTCAAGGCAGAGTTGTTTGAGGAGGAGGAATTAATTGCTGTTGGAGAAGTCAGTTCAGAGAATTTGGAATTAAAATAACCAAGGGATCTTCATTGAGCTTGTGCTTGTACTTCAGTTACTGCTGTAGTAATGTTCATGGTATTCATATGATAATTGCCACGTTGGGCCAGATCTTGCTTTGTGCAAGAGCTACTGATGGTTGATCTGTAGGCCAGAAACAAAGGCAGCATTGTGCTTATTTCCTTTCCCCCAGGATTTCTTCAACATAGAGTAATTCTTGGAGATGCCAGCAAAAAATGCCTGGTGGAATAAGGGGGCACGTGGCAGCGTGTGATGGGGAGGGAGGAAGAGTCTGTCCTTGACTAATCTTTGCCACTAACAGTCCCCAGAACAGCGGCGCTGGGGACTTAGCAGTGAGCTAAGTAACATGCACTAGAGATCATACTGATACCTTGAAGCCTCAGGATTTAAAGAGCACGAGATATGAAACCACATCTGTGTAAGCCTCAAGAAGCTGGCAGGATTTGGGGAAGGGACATTTTGGCTGCAATTGTCGAGGTCTGGCTTTTGCCTGGTGCTTTTGCAGGCGTTTACATCATTAGAAAGAGCATGCATAACATTGTCACTGTGATTGATAACATTTTGCAGTGACTTTGTTTCCTTTACAGTGGTGTGAATGAATAGCTGCAGTAGAGAAAGCTATAGAAAAACAGGATTTAGGTATCTTTTAGCAGAGTCCAGCCTTGCTTGGGCGGATGTGTTTCTGGGTTATTTCAGTGAATTCTTTCAATTTATCCCATGTTTGCATAAAAGTAGGTGAAACCTAGAATTTTGCCACTTCTGACTATAACATACCCTTTTTTAAAAAAAAAAAAAAAGTGTTTTTTTGCTTAGTTTCCTCAGAAGCAAGGGTGATGAATGGATAGAAATAGATAGAAACCGTAAATATGTCTTACCTATCCCATATTGATACAAAAGGCCATAGCATCTCAGCAGTAGTTACAGATGTAACTGTACTTATGTAATGTGTAGGTATGATACTAATCATTTGCTTTTCACGGTAACACTGAATTCTGTTTTACTGTATGTAACTTTTGTATAATAACTCCGGAGTCAGACTAGCATAAATTGGCATGCAGGAATAAACAGAATGATCATTTTAGAAGTGGGTCATGAATCAAGACACCAAATGATGGTATTTGCTAGTAATCAAAAGTTAATTTCATCATCAGCAGTCGGGAGAATCTGGAGCTCCCTAATTATTGCCTTGAGTTTTTCGAATTCATTAAGATGTAATTGTTTCAAGCATGTGCTTGAACTTTTCTGGTAATGTAAAGCAGTGTAGAAAATGATAGATATTTCAAGCCAAAATGGAACAGAAAGATTTTTTTCTTCTCAGCAAGGCACTTGTCCCCGCTGGTCTGCCAATGGCCTGTTCTTTTCTAAACGGTGCCATACAAGTGCCTGTCAGCACTGGTAGGTTTTAGATTGTGGTAGCACAGGGACTGTGACAATGGCTTATTCATAATGTCTGACTTCATACTTGCTTCTTGATTGCAAAATACATGTTAAAGGTTTTATTTCTCTAATTTTAAGAAGAGGTCTTAGATGTTTATGTGAATTATAAAACTGTCTGTAGATGGAAAAGGCAATCAATCATTTACTCATAACTTTATATGATCTCTCAACTTTTCACTTTCAAATTCTAAAGTATTTGGGTATTTTCCAACTTCAATATTTCCCTTACAGGTGATGTTGTGAGAATAAATACACTATCATCCTCCTTTTACAGAAGAAGAACTAGAACACTGGCTAAATGCTAAATCTCACTAAGGGGTCTCAACATTGTCACATCTGACCTTTAGGTACCTTGCTCAAAGATAGGAAGCCAGGTTCTGTGTCATACAAAATGGAAGAAATGAGACACTTTAAAACTGGTTTTGCAACAGAATTGCAATCACTCCACAGGATTTTGGGGCTTATTGGCAGAAAATGCTGAAGAGAGAGATCTGAAATGCACCTGTGATTCTAGTTAGAGAGTAATAGGGATGTCTATCCAAGAATCCTCTTTTGGAGCTAGTCTCTAACCTGCCTTTTTGTAAAGGGACCATGACTCAGTCTTGTTTTAGAACATGATTGAAGGAAAAGATGGTTGCCATTAATATACCTAATATATGTACTGTATTAATACATAATACTAAGACCATAGTAGCATACTAATATGTAATATACTTTCCATCATTGGAAGGGAGCCTGACTAGTTCTCAGAAAAATAATGGCCTTGAATGCTGAGGTTTCTGCTGACTCTAGTTGCAATAATAGGGGCTAGGATATTCTGAGGAATGGAAAAAACCCACATAATATAAATGCCGCTATTTTGTTCTGAACTTGAGCTCATTCTTGTGAAACCAGCTTGGAGGAGGAGTCCAAACCACTTTCCTTGTTTACTTCAAACACAGAATGAGCTCGCAGAGCCAGAGCTTAGGTTTGAGTATGGTGCAACAATAGTACATGGAATTGGTGCTGAGGTAATAGGTGTGCTGGGCTAAGCCAGCTCTGGCCAGAACCTCTTAAGTGTCCCTGTCGCTGTCTCAAATGAGTCCTTTTTGCACAGATACCTCCTTTGGCTCAGGTCTGGCAGCACTGACTGTTTCAGACTGTTTCTGCTGTCTCTTTGGATTCTTGCAGGGCTTATTAGCTTGGCAGCTGGGCCAGACCTGAGCTGGCTCGCTCTGTCTCCTAACAAGCACTGCACAAACAAAGCCACCTACAGTTGTGGAGCCAGCTTATGTTGATAAACAGTAGAACTTTATATCAAGTGAACCTTACCATCACGCAGGGCATTTTGATTTCCCACTTTTTCCCCTGCTAGACTGGAGACTTGAATATAATAGCTGAGCAGGAAGCATGGAGCACAGGTCTCTCGTTTCTTGTGCAGATGTGCTTTCTTCAGATTCCTATTCCCAGCTTCCTAGGGGAGATGCTGTGTTTTCTCACTAGCAGTTTTGAACTGTGATACCGTGCATCGAAGAACTGTGGTTCTGTGTAGCCAGAGGAAGGGAGGCCGATCAAGGGTCTGCTGGTTAACAGACTTCATGGGGAGAGAAGAGCCCTAAATCCCTATTTCTGCTCATGCATTTTTCTTACTGGGTCAAGTAATACAGTCCCGTGAATAGGGCTGTGATGTTAATCAGCTATCTTATAGAGTCATGTTAGTTTTTAACAACTTTTTTTTGAAATAAATTAGAGTACTTGGTCTGTTCTACTACAGAAAACTGTTTTTGCCTGATGTCTATAAATGTG